CATTAATTAAATCAATTTAATATTAACCAAAGGTTTAAAGTTAACTGTAGATCTTGGAATTGTGAATTAAGCTGACACATGTTGGAACGTGAGAATGTTGGAATCATATATTGGTATATATGGAGTCACCTAAAAATATTTACCGAAAATTGTAAATGGAATAATTGAGTCCTCTGGTTTATGGAATTATAAGAATTTACCCCCTTTTAAAGATATTGTCTGGCATATTTAACTTACTTGAACACACAACATTAAAATTTTATCAATTGAAAAAAAAAAAAAAAAAGTAGGACACAAGTAAATGTTTTCAGTGACTATCTTTTATACATATATGTTTTTCAAATTTTCAAGTCTACACTGAAGACTTGTTGATTCCAAAGAGGCATCTACACTTATTAAAGACCAAATTCTCCTCCCCAGTGATCTAAGGGTCACTAGTAGCTTCTCTACAGCAGGCACCACATGCACATTCCGGCTGCCTCTTGCTCTCAGTCTCCAAAACAAATATGCCCAACTGTGTCCACCAAAGAGAACCAATTCTGGAAAATAAAATAAGAAGTGGCCACCAATTTGGCCCACAGTGCCCACACATTTTGACTCATCTGGCATGCAGATGCAGTGGAACAAATTCCCTTAATGAACCAAAGAGTGAAATTGAAAGTCTTTTTTATTCCAACCCTTTGTGTGCTCTGTGTGCCTTCTCCCACAATATAAAGACTCCCAGGAGGCCAGGGATACTGCACAATGGAGACACCAAGACACATAAGGTGGGCCTCATCTCATTCTAGAGACAAAGCACCTTATCTTTTAGGAAGCTGTGGTTGCTCTGGCTTCCATCTCATCCCTAGGGGAAGTGTGCTCATATGAATATTCCATGGTTCAGAGAGGAATACAGGAGTTAGCAGCCACACCCCAGCTCCAAACCCTAATCTGGGAGGTCGGCAACTCCCACCACCCTCACTTAGCCTAGCACCGGCAGATACATGGAGCCTGGGGTAGAGGGCCCAGGAAGGGGGCAGTGCTGGATGGCAGGTTTAACAAATGAGCGGTTTATTTTTCAGGTTTCACATCAGATCCTCCACCTACCTCTGTGACTCTCATAACACTGTGTAAAATGCTGTAGGTCTCTGCTCCCCTTCCAGCCTAGAAACTCCTTACCTAACTCTGTAGCTCCTAAGTCTACCACAATGATCCGCACCTAGTAGGTGCTTACTAAATCACTGGTTTTCATTCTAAACAGAACTAAGCTGATCTGAATGGAATTGACATCTAAGAAGAGAGAAGCTGGAAACCTAGCTGGGCCTCACCAGGAAAGGTAGAGCAAAGTGGCACAAGAGAATTCCCCAGAAAACTCAAATAAGTAGTATTGCATTGTGGCAAGCAAGAATTCAGTGAAAACAAAAGCATTTAGATTTCTATTTCAATTGGTCGACCAAAACATTTACCCATATTGTAGTGAGGCAAAGGGCTATGAGGAAGCCTCTGGCATCAGGCAGACAAGTTCAAATCCTGGCTCACCCTTTACTCACTGCATAACCTTCGACAAGTCAGCCCCTTTTAAGCTTCAGTTTCTTCATCTCTACCCTTCTAGAATTGTTGTTAGGAATAAATAAGACAACAAATGCCTGGCAGAGAGCAAATGCTCGTAGAGCTATTATAAGCTTAGCATTTGAAACTCAAAAGTAAAATCTCAACCAGGGAACAAAGATTCTAAGTTTTAAATATTATTTTCTAATTAGCATACATATCACTTACCAATTCCATATTTGGTCTTATAATAAGACTTCGTAAATTCATCACAGTCACAAAGGAGCACTTTTCTTCCCCACACATTGATGGTGGTTCCTATGGACAGGTCACTATCTTTGTAAAACTCTTGGTTTAACTTTCCTAGCTAATAAAAACAACAAAGGAACACAACATTGGCACCACAGACCCTCCAAAGACCTAGGCACCCCTTCCCAAAGGAAAAAAGAAATTTAAAAAAATCACGATTATATCATTTATAGCCAAATCTTTAAAATCAAATCAAAAGACGATCAATGTTAACATTTTAAAATATTCTTTTAGCAATGTAGTGATACCAAATAGCAATGCAATGCATCTACTTATATAAGCACTTAAGCATGTTTATTATCAATAAACAGCAGTGCGATGCATATATTTATATATTCTTCGATTTCATTCGCAATCTCACAAAAGAAGAATATGTAACTCACTCCACATTTCAGGTTCCAAGGAAGTCACACTGGGAACAGTAATAAAACGTGAAGTTCCTCACCTGATATTTATCCAACAGGTAGCCATCCATTCGGTTCTCTACCAAGCCACCATACATATTGAGAACTATTCGATCTGTTACCTCGCCTGGCTGGTAGATTCCAGGTGGGCCATACTGGAAGACAAAATCAAAACAAGACATGGTAGATGGTCTCTAAACACAAAGATGGTCCTGTTGAGGGGCTCGAGGGGGAATATGCATTGTATGGATGTTCTCTGCCATCCAGAGGAAGATAAGACACATACTCCATCCACCTCTCCCTATGCTGCCTCACTCTCTGCAGGCTGCTCTACACTCCACCCATCCTTCAAGGCCCTGAAGGGGCCTTGATAAAGATGGATAAAGTTCCATCTTTCCCCCTGACCCCTCCCCTCTGACTGGCCTGTCCCCAATCCAAACCTCCATAGCACCTACTGCAGGGTTAAACCACTTTTTGTGGTTCTCTAACTGCTTCATCAGCAGTCATCTTTTCTCTTCACTAAACTACAAAACACCCTGAGGAGGAAACCATACCTTGCCTTCTTTTCTTTATTCTGCTTAGCACCCTGCCTGATCCTGAGCTCAGGAAGCACTTGCTGGCTGAGAGAGGCAGGGTGGCGAGGTGGCAAGAACAATAGAGTGCAGTCAGCCTCTAACAGAAACTGTGGCCTGGAGCAAGCCAGGGCCCTCCTCAGTTCCACAGGCACTGGAGGTGGTCCAAGCAGTTGTATGAGCTGCAGGAAATATCTTAACTAACTTACATAAATTGATAGTGATCAGTTTATCACATACAGGTGAGAACTCTGAATCATCCGTAATACGTGTGACATAAAATGTAAGTTCAGACGTGTGAATTTATGATGTGTGGGATATAAGTAACCCAAGTAACAGAGAAAAACAGTACATTTGGACACAAACTCTCTCTTTGCCACTTACTAGCTACAGGACTTGGGGCCAGATATTTATCTTCTCTGAACCTCAGTTTCATCATCTAACTGCAACAATAGCACTTATTCCTTGCTGTCTCAAAGGATGCTGTGAGCATCAAGGGAATACTCCCCATTATTACACCTCTCCCCCAGGAGAATGTGAGCTCCATGAAACAGGACATAATCCATTTTCTTTCTCACTGTACCCCCAGAGCTGGCACACAGTTGACACTCAATAAATAGTTGTTGAATGAATGAATAAATGAAGCAACTGATGTCAAGGCACACAGCAAATGTCAGATGTGTCATCATTATTTTATACTTAGCCTATTTTTCAAGCCATTCTAAAATCAGTCTTCCTGATTTTAGGTATCTCCTGGTCACTTGCTGCGCATACCCCAGAGCTCCCTCTGGGACAAATCCTGCCTCCACCCCCAAACAACACAGCAGAGTTTCTGGCGGTAGGCTCAGAGAATCTAGGAGAGCCTCCTGTGAGGACCAAATAACCAGCAGTTGTTTGCATCAGAAATGAGTGTTACAGTAACCTCTTCAAAAGCACTAAGAATTAAGTTAAAAAATACTTTATCCAAATAAGAAATAAAATATAACAGAACTGTGAAAAAGCCTTCATGTTTTTATGAGTCCTTATAGGTGTTTATAGGTCCTTAGACAGTGGTTTTGTTTTGTTTTGTTTTGTTTTGTTTTGTTTTTTTGCTGAGGAAGATTAGCCCTGAGCTAACATCTGTGCCAATCTTCTATTTTGTACGTGGGTCGCTGCCTCAGCATGGCTGATGAGTTGTGTAGGTCCAAGCCCAGGATCCGACCCTGCAAACTCGGACCGCGGAAGCAGAGCATACCAAACTTAACCACTATGCCACAGGGCCGGCCCCTTAGACAGTGTTTTTCACTATATTATCTCATTCAATCTTTAATTACCTCAGGAGGGAGGCCTTGTTAAGTGCATTTTAGAGACAGGGAAATACAATCAGAGAGGTTAAGTGATTTGGCCAAGGTCACACAGCTATTAAGTGGCAGACCTACAATTCTTATCCAGGTCTTCTGTCTCTGTGCTATTTCTGTTGCATCCATGTTATACCAGCTCTCAAACGGCCATAAATATGTGTAGGAATTAGTCTGACAACTCTTTTTTAATAATAAATATAATGCAAAAGCTGTCATTGCCGTTAGCCAGTGGCTGGTTGGTTACTGGTAGCTACTTTCAGAAGAGTCACTCCTGTGCGTACACTTGTATGTGTGTGTGTACATTCACAACCCAGAACACCACCATGGGATCTCCTCAGTAGGCTACAGAGGCCAGAGGCCAGTGCCCCATCCAAGGCCATGAGCAATTCTTTAACTAGAGGATCATTTACCTTCATAAGACTGATTGTGAACTCAATGATGCATAGGTACTTTCTCTTATATTTGACTTTTTTCCTTTACTTGCCTTAATCCCAGAATATTCCAACTCCAATTTGTCATACCTATGTATTACTTTCATAGATGTATATTAATATAGGGCACAAAAAGAAAGTTTTCTACACACTTGCACTAATATATGGTAACTTGTCATCACATAGTTATAGCAAGACATTCCAGACAGTGAGTGACTAGAGTCTCTCAGCCCACAAGCAAACTCGGAAAGTGGTTCTGTGTCCACTGCTCACCTTTGGTAGCTTTCCCCTCTGGAGGAACAATGGCATAGCATTCCGGCCTGTGTTGTGTGGCAACACTTCTTTGATTTCAATAGTATCATCAGAAAGAAAGTAATGCAAGATGAGTTCTCTACGGTCCCCAAACAATGAGGCTGAGTCGTCCCACAGGCAGAAGAAACGCAAAACCTTCCTATCATAGTTGAGGAACTGCTTCAGGGTGTCGAAGGACTCATAGGGACGTAAGGGCTCCACGAAGTCTAGCTTCTGAAAATGGAGAAAAGGTCAATAATAGTTGTGGTTTTTGCATAATCACCTCTGGGATGCAAGCAATCAAAGAACATAAAGATATCTTTTCCGTAGACTATTCTGTGATATTTTTAAAAATTTCAACTGACTAATGACATACATGTACATGCACATATAACTAGTTTTAACCTTAAAAATACAGACAATCAAGTATTAGGAATCTTTTCCTATTAAACATTATTCTAATACACTAAAATGCACTTCTGTAATGTTTTTGAAAACTGACTTTTCTCAAAGACTTAAAATTCTTGTTTAAAAACAGACAAAACTAATGTATGGTGACAGAAATTAAAATAGTAACTGCCTCTGGGTAGGGGATTGACTGGAAAGGGGGACCAGGGAAATTTCTGGGGTGATGGAAATACACTGTATCTTGATTTTCATGTTGGTTACTAAATTATATACATTTTTCAAAACTTGTGGGTCTATATGCTTAAGATTTGTACATCTGAGTCTATGTTAATTATATCTCAACCAAAAAAAATTTTGTCTTTTCACTGAAAATCCATATCTGTATATCCTTCTTACTCATCCAAACATATTTGTGAAGGTAAAAGAGAAGAAATATATTCACAGCTTTATTTTGCTCAAAAGCTTTAGATATCAAGGACCTGAAAGGCCATGGAAACAGGAGCAAAGCAAATAGAGAACTTTCCAGTCATCACAGAACCACCGCCTGGGCTCTGGCCCCCGCCCCAGGAACCCCTATGTCTGCAGTCTTCTTGGTGCAACTCTTCTCTATTTGCATGTTCTCAGCCCTGTCTTGGAGCAAAACTGCCCCCATTCTATCTGATGTAGCCAAATAGGATCATTATATAAGGAAGTGCTCATTAGCACAGGAGATGTAGGCCCACATCGGGTTATGTAATCTTATTTGTAAATTCTCAAAATTTTGTCTCTGCCCAGGGCAGTCTGGGTGCAGACTTAACCCAAGACAGGAGGGAGACATGATGGCCTTCCAGAGGTTCTTCAGTCTTATCCTTGGTATTTAAATACAATTATAGGACCTCTACTTTGACTGAAAAACTGTTTCTGTGGCATTATAAATCCTCTAAGAAATGCATTATTGATTATATACCATTGGGGCTCTTTTCAGTTTAGGTGAAATTGTTTAATTTCAACTTTACATTTCAAGGCAGCAAACACTGAAGAAGTAAATGCATTAAAGTCAATATAAAAGCCTCTTATTAAACTCCTAATTTTCCACAGATTTCTATATTTATTGAAGAGCTTTCTCCCTGAGGGAATTAATACTAAAATAATTCTCCCAATCTGCAAGGAAATTATTTAAAACATTTCTTGGCTGTTCTTCGTATTTATTCTCAATTTCTGGCACAAAAGATTTTTTTCTTTATAAACCTATAAAATCACACAGTGCTCTAAATAATTCATATAATGCATCATCATTCACAATCACTATCATATAATACCAACTGTTAGTGAATGAGTGCAGCCATATGCAAAGGGTGGTAATTTGTATGGCTCCATTTCTTTTAGATTCTCTGCTGGTTCTAAAGACTCCATATTTATCTAGACTCCTTCACCTAGGGCATTTGGAAAAAATAATAATGACCCCAAATCGTAAATCCTGTATGCCAATACATATAGGTATAATGTCACAGGAATTTCACCTTAGATAGTCCAGGATCAAAAAAATATATTTCTCAGGAGGGTTGTATGCCTACAACATTAAAGAATAATTCTGTTGGGGCTAGGAGGCAGGAATAGATGAATGATCTTACACGCAGCTTTTAACAAGAGATCAAAGCAGAATCAAAGGAGAATTTTATTCTAAATTTTATGTTATCTTTCTGCAAGGAAATGAGTTACAAGTTTTAGAAACAATAAAAATGAGACTAAACTAATCTATAGGTATAGAAATGAGAATAGTGGTTATTCCTGGGTGGCAAGAGGGATTGATTGGAAAAAGGCATGAGGGAATTTTCTGGGGGGATGGAAATGTTGTATGTCTTGATTTGAGTGTGGATTACATGGACGTATGCATTTGTTAAGACTCATACAACTGTTCACTTAATTTCTGTGTATTTTGCTGTGTGTAATCATACTTCAATAAAAAAAGAAAAAGGGAAACAAATGACAATAATGAAAATCAGGGGAAGAAGCAAGAGATTTGAATACCAGTCCCAGCAAGAAGATTGGCTAGGTATGTGACCTTCCACATAATACTTGCCCTTTTGGGTATTCAGATTCTTCTGTAAAACATATAATTTGGGCCAAGGGATCATTAAAAAAAACTTTAGAAAGACGACAATAATGCTACTAACACTGATTCTTTCCTCCCTACACTAAACTGGGGTCAGACTTTGAACAGAAGCATCCCTTCGTAAAGGGGGCACATTGGAATCATGGCCCTCCTCACTCCTCCAGAACATCTCTGCATCTGATGCCGCCATGAGGGGAGTTGGAAGTCCAAGAAGGAAAAAGGTACATCCAAGGCTTGGTTCAGTAAATCAGTACTAAGAAGCAAAAATTTTCCGAGAGTTAGGCAACTAAAATGGGAAAGACAAGTCAGGTAAGTGTGGGCCCAACTCTTATGCTGTCAGTGACCACAAAGCCAATCATGGGCTCTTAGAAATTGTCCCATGTGGGCGGCTCACTAAAGACTCCTACAGCCTGGAAGGGAGACTCTCCCTGTAGAGAAGTGGGGGTGGGGGAGTGCATGAGCCTTTCCTGCACTGAGACCAACACCCAGCCTTCCCTCCAGCCCAAAGGAGAACAGGACAACTCCAGTGACAATATCCCCAAAAGTTCCTTCACATCTGCATCAGGAGTACTGACTCTCCGAAGGGATTCTCATTCTGAAGACAAGAATTTACAGACATATCAACTTCTCACCTCTCTTCGCATCTTCATGTAAGGATCTTCTGGACACTGTCCCGGGGGGTTTAATTTGACTCCCATTTTCTTCAAAAAGTTTTTTGTGAATGTATCACAATCATAAATCTTGAATGTCCGGCCATAAAAGACAATGTCTATGCTGATATTGAAATGATACAGAGTATAAAACTGATCCTCATCAGGAGGTGGGAGAGAAATCCGATGACGCCGGATAAAAGTCCCTATGGAATGAAATAAAATGGAATTGTTTCATTGGGCGGCTAACAAGGAAGAGGTCAAAGCACGTGTCTGTAACAACCCTGAATGCTTTTCCACAACAGTGAAGTGGGCAAAGGGCTGGTTCTTGCAGGTAGCATTAGTATGTTCAAACTCTGAGGGTACCAGAGGCAGCTGAGACTTCTGAGGTCCAGAGTTATTTGACCAGCCTCGTATGTTAGTTGCCTAAGTGGTACAAAGGAAGCACTTAATTAAACCATAAAGATCAGGGCGGGATAAAAGGAGGAGGTGGGTATAAACAGAGTGACCTAATGTGCCAGACACCGCCGTCATGTCTTTTCCCAGAACAAACTTGATCACTTCCACCCACTAGCACTCAACGTGAGCACAGTAAACAAGGCACTAAGACCTCAAAGCAGAGTGCTCACAAAAATGCACTCTCTTGGCTCAAAAAAAATAAGCTAATAAGCTTCAATATGATAGGCGCCAACACCATGATTTACAGCTTCTAAAGGCATGAATGAGTTTATGCTGCCTTGAGGCTTCACAAATCTTCTTTCCTCTACCAACCTCTTCTCCCTCCTTCTTCCTCTATAGCCTCTGTCAACTCCACCCAACCACCCCCACAAAGTGAGGGTTATCAGAGTCTTCATAGTTTCAGCCAGTGCTCTGGGCCAAAGGTTCTGAAACTCATCTCATCTTTTACTTCCAACCCTATGATGCCCATTCACTTTTCCTTTTGAGAATATGGACCCAGGGTCCCCAAGTATACACAAAATGATTAGCCACTGGAGGTAAAAGGGTTCCCTTCCTAGATGAGTATACCACCTACATCACACCATACCAGCCAACTTATCCAAACACTGCCGAAAAACCTATTGTCAAGAATTGTTTAGGGTTTGAGATTTTACCCTACTTGCAAGCTAACAACAAGTTAGCCTGCCACAGTTTCACGGATGCTGGTAGAAGACACGAGATGCTTTGATTAGAAATAAAGGGCAGTTTATTACTCACAACAATAACAGTAGCCAGAACATCAGCATTTTTTGCACCAGTTTCCTGAGCCTCAATTCCTATAGGGTGACACAACAAGGTCCAGGTAACTCCTGCACACACAGTAGGTACTTACAGGAGAGGAACCCTGAGCTCAGGGAACCCAAATCTTTTATAATGGGCAATAAGCATTCCTGCCTTTTGTCTTAGAGGGCGACATTATCTTTATTAGAGTGGACAATAAGCATGTCTGCCCTTTGTTCTCGAAGGAGACACCACCTCTATCTGCCAAGGCTATGAGCAAACCTGCACTTTGCTCCAGAGGGAGAGACTATCTTTGTCTTCTAAAGCTGTTTGCTATATAAACATCCTTGAAGAGATAGCCTAGAACAAGAAGCAGTCAGTGCCTCTGCTTGCAAGATCTACAGAAATGCAAGATACCAATGGAGAAGTGTCTCTCAATATCTGTGACTGACTTAGGCCTGAGAATCTGCTCCAAGAGCAAGGAGAAAAGGAGAAAAGGCAAGCAGAGCAAAGTGAGGGTCTAACGGTTCAAGAAAAATTGGCTTGTGTAACCTCTGTATGGAAGTATTTTAGTACAAAGATATCAAGCAATCTTCTTCACATTTTATATAGCATTGAGAATGGTGCCTTGTCTTCAAGTCTAGAAATACTTAGAAATTATTCATTCTATTCATTAAGGAACATTTAATGAATATCTTCATGTGCCAGGAACTGTGTTGAGCTCTGTTCCATTATTCTACTAATCATCTTTTCACTCTGTTGAGAGGAAATTAACTAAAATTATTTTCATCTTCTTTTCTTTGTAGCAATTTTTAATTACTTGGTACATTAAATTAAAATAATAAAACTATAAAATTAGAACTGGCCTAGAATATTTTTAAATGTACTACATAAAAGATGATATAATTTTACTGCAAAAAATTATACTTCAATTAGCCTTTAATTCATGCCACTGAAAACAGTATGCAAATTATTTAATCATTCAAGATTAGACATTTAGAACAAATTGCATACTTAAACATCTATAAAAGCATGGGCATTTCAGGTATTTTCAGTAACCATTATATATCTCTTTAAAAATACTTATATTGTGATAGTTTTTAAAATATGTAAGATTTATTCAACAGCCAGGAGCTTCTTCAGAAATTCCATCTATCTTGTATTTGTACTTCATTATAAAAATTCAAATAAGCAAGTTAGTGTTGATTTCTGTTCAGTAAGACTTCGAATAGGAATCCTCTATTTTTCCAGGTGGGAAGAACTGGCCCACCCACTGAGCTTTTAAATAATAATAATCATAATCATCATCACAGCCCTAGGATATGCTTTCATATACACTTTCTCATTTAATCTTCAATAATCCCATGGGGCAGATAATGCATGAAATATAAGTATTCAGTTTATGGATTAGAAAACTAAAGCTCAGAGTGGTTAAGTGACGTGCCCAAGGTCACACCCTAACAAATGGCAGAAAAGATCTTGAACCTGGGTTTTTAAGCTCTAAGTAAATACCGTTACTTTTCACAGTTTGCACTAAAGTATATCTCACTGTACTGCAGCCACAAATTACTAAAGTGAAGGAGAGGAGGGAGTGTTAAGGCAAAACAGAATAGAAATAGGGAGAAGAGCTGTCAGTCACCAGGAAAAGGAGAGAAAGATGATGGAGCTGCTCTTCCAAAAGAACAGCTTCTCTCTTCTCTAAAGGCAAATTTCTAGAGAGGGCCCACTTGCCAGTTGCAGCAATCTCCCCTCCAGGGCCAGCACCACTACATTCCCTGCCCCCGCCCTCAGGAGCCTGCATACCCCAGACCCCCATGCTCTTCCTTATCTTAGCTCCCACACTTCTCACTAGATGGTTCTCAGAAGAGGCCGGGGCAGTTCTTTGTGGTAACAAAAAAACAGTCCTGACCATCCATGGGTTGGAAAGAGAAGGCAGATCTAACACCAAACAAGAAAATTTTAATAATGAGAAGTCCAAAGTCACAATTCCACGTTATTCAGAAAACTAAGGTGGGCCATTTGAAATGTTCAGTTGCACATGAGAGCTTTCGATAATATATTCGTGGGATCTCTCAACTGTGTCCTTTGGGGATTGAAATTTCTACTTATTGTTATTTGTGTGTTCATAGTCTTCCATGATAAATGCAGAAACTCCACCAGCAGAAATTTGTTCTGGAGTTATCAAAGAAATGGGCAGGATGCCATGTCTTTGGCACCCGAGATCATCAAGGTTTATAAATAAAAATAATGCTACAAAATGGAAAACAACAAAAGCACCATATCGGCCCTTTAAATTTTTAGATGTTGATCTTCTTAACTGCCCCATAAAGACAATTTGGGCAAATGTCCATCATCGGTGCCTGCTTTTAAGCTCTTCCTTATCTTCATATTCTACATCTCTCTTCCTTTTTAAAGGCCCTGCTATCTGATTATACACTGTAAGCTTTAACTTTCTAACATTTCCCTGTGGTTTAGATCAAAATGATGATATATCCATTTATGTTTAATGCTTTTTCATTTAATTCAGTTGGGACTGGCTTTAGATCTTTGCCCAAACCGCTAAATTTAGTTTCTAGGAACTCACCTTTCAGAATTAAGACTTCAACCTCCTACCTCTATCTTAATTTTAAGTACATTTAGTTCATTTTAGTATTAGACCTAGGGTACATCCAAGTCTAGAGGCAGCTATTTCTTAGGTGAATGACTATACAACTGGAATTGCCACTTGTCACCATGATTACTAAGTTTGTATCCTAAAAACACTAAGGCCCTTCACTGTCATCAGACATGAAAGAGAATCTTTCCCTCCTCTCACGTTCACTTTTATTCCTTCACTAAAATGACTGCTCCATTTTTGTTTTTATAAAATGTCATCTTTGGAGTTTTGGTTTCAAAAGAACAACTTTTTTTATTTAGATAGCCTGACCCCTGTCTTGCAGCAAAAGAATAAAAATTAAAAATTCCACATCTCTGATCATAATAAGAAATAATAATCCTATGCATCTCCCCCCTAGCCATTGAATGAGCCCCAAAGGACAGCATGTTAGGTGCTCTAATGTCCTCTTGCATAACTGCCTTCTTGCTTAGTTTTCTTACACATTCTATGATCTGCTCCCAAATACCTCCCAACTCCTCACTCCACCACTACCCCACCTCTTTATCTCATGCTATTCCTTTTGACTAATGTGCCTTCCACTTCCATCTTTATCTGGAGAAGCTTCTGAGGCACCACTCACATGCCTTCTTCTCTAGTGGATATTGGCTTTTCCCCCCTGATCCCTCAAAGAACCTGGTACATTTATGATGCCTGCATTGTGTTATGAACATTGTCTATCACTTTTCCTTTCCCTTTTTCCTTCCTCCCTCCCTCCCTTCCTTTCTTCAACAAATATTTACTGAGCAGCCACATGTACCAAGCACTTATTTTCATAGATCAGTGACTTACCTCTACTCTTAAATTCTACTCTGTTCTATTCAATGACAATTCACCTCTCCGAAGCTCCACCCTTTGGGGTTGCCAAATTTAGCAAATTGAAATATAGGATGCCTACTTAAATTTGAATTCCAGATAAACAATGAATAATTTTAAATATAAATATGTACCATGCAATATTTGGGATACAGTTATACTAAAAACTTCTTCATTGCTTATCTGAAATTCACATTTAATTGGGCATCTTGCATTATATCTGGCAACTGTACCACCACCACTCCTCCACTTTATGGGATGCAATACTTAGATACAGTATATGCCCAATATGAATGAATTACATAGAAATGACTGACTTCTATTTTGTGATTACATTTGCTTGCTTAAGGTAGATTATCCTAGAGTATAAAAATATACATAAAAAATACTACCGGCTGAGGGGCCAAAACAAGTCACCAGGGGAGATCAGTGTTCTTAATGCAAGATGCACTAAGAACCAAGTGGAAGCCAGTTCTTGACCCTGGGACTACAGAGTCAGAAATTCTTGGAGTGGGCCAG